TGAATACCAACATTTTACTGCATTTTTATTATAAGAATATGAACATACTGTGCATATTTACACTATGCCCAGCTAGCTGTGCATCGTACTCCTGGCACACCAGAGTGTCCCTTATTTGATAAAAGGTTGGCAGCCCTGAGTTTCAATGTGACGAGTGATGATTGATCACTTCCTGCGTGGATACAGCTTAAATCTTAACAACTTGCATTTAAACTGTTGTGCAGCTATGCTAATGTCTCTGTTAGCTCACAACGCAGAAGTGGTGTGTGCCAAATGCTAATTCCGAATTAACATGCTAATGGAAAGCAAGATGATGAATAAACACAAGATATAGCTGATATTTAGTGTAACTAAAGTACAGTGTAAATTAAAAAACACTGACCTGTCAATGATGTTGAATAAAAGTTATTAACATTTCTCCTAACGGGGAAATTTAGAGTGAATCCAGCAGTTGTTGAGAAATTTCACTCACAATTATCAAATTGCTCCCCTGATATTTAGACTGTATTGATATTTTAACCTTTACTGATGGTGATGAAAAAACAAAGCTTGCTGAAGTCAATAGGAGTTATCCTCTGGGGATCATGAACATCTTTGGGAAAGTTCAAATCCATCATGTAGTTGTAAAAAGATTTCAGTCATCTCCATAAATGTGGTTAAGTGTGCTTCCTGCTGCACTTACAGATGTGCACTCAGAAGATGCGAAGCGTCTTGTGGGTGATTGCTTCCATTCACGCTAGACGACTTGCTTATTTATTTACACGCACTCTAACAGTGCACAAGATGATTCTTCCTCACAACAACAGGAAGCTTTCAATACACTGGCTGCATGTCAACAACAGCTTCGGCTGAGCTGGTCGTGGGAGCAGAAACGGTTTTACTGATAGCACACTGAGAAGTTTCATGTCATGGTTATCTCCTTGATTAGATTTTAAGTTTTGGCTGATGGGACATCGAGCCACAGCCACATGAGAAGTTTTCTAGGAACTGATAGGATCGCTAAAAGATCTCAATCACTGCAGCCTGCCGGCAGTGTTTCCCATCTCCATGGAAACAGCAGAGCCTGTATCACTCTGAGACGAGACTGCGCTGATAAAGAGGATGTGACCACCTCCAGAGTATCACGATGGTGTAGAAATATTTAGATTGAAGTCCGTTTGAAGCTGCTCACGGCTATCGTTGCTGAGGCGCTCATAGGCCCCGGCGTTCTCCTTTTCTTCCTTCTTTTATTCAACATTAGCTCCACATCTGCTCCCATGAAGGAGCTGCAGTGTGCTCGTTACTGTAGTGCGACCCAATTTGAGCGCCACTTCTGTGTCGTTCTAATGAGGGAAGACAGGCAGTCGACAGGCACTCATGCCTTTGCCTTTAATGGACTAAGAGAGTTGTGGAGGCAGATAAGAAAGTTTCTGCAGTGCTGCAGAAGCACAGAGGCTTTTTTTTTTCAAGCTTAACAACTACTTTAAAATGACCTAGATGTTAGATATTTTCCAAAATCAGCTGTTGCATGGGTCACTTCTGAGCACGGGCTTCAAAAGTTTACATTTTAAATATTTACTGGCGTCGCTGACATTTCCCTGCATGCCCACACAAACAAGCACACTGTTTAGGGTCCAAACTACAGTCCTGGTCTCACTCTGTTGTTAATCGTTTCACAATAACACACAGAGGCACAGTTCTATACCTGAATGCCACCCCAAACACACAAACACAGCATGCATCCCTTTGATGTGTCAGTTCAGTACAAAGGAGCACGACTCTAAGGATGGCAACATGGCACAGTTGGTGCACCCTTTTCCTTTCATTTTAAGTGAATTACCATGTAATTTGGTACAAATATTCATTCTTCAGATCCTGCTGACTTTGCTAATCTCCCCAATTTGTTGTTTTAGTGAAATGTCTGAACAATGAATTCATGCTGTAGAACCACCAACAGATTTTAGCTGCATTTGTGAAGGTTTTGGCTCATTCTGTGACTCACACACTTAATAATGTTACACAATAATCTGTGAGATGAAGTAAGAGAAGTTTGGAAGAACTCTGTCTTAAGAAATCCTGCTTGGAATTCCACCATAAAGAAAACAGTTTTGTTGCGCCTTACTTGGTAGGAATTATGAGGACTCTGACTTTTTGCCGTCTCTGGAACGCCAAACTGCATGTTGTGTGTGTATGTGTGTGTGTTTTTAACATCGTGCACATGTGCATGTGTGTGGCAGGGTGATCGTGAAGAGTGCCAGGAAGCACTGTATCTCATCTTGTGGACAAGTCCTTAATCTGTGTGACCCAGCAAGGGATTATGGGGGTTCTGAGAGAAAAATGGGACTTGAAGCTCACCCTTCCAGCCTGCTAACTGACAGTTTGAGTTTGTGTGACTCTGTCCTTTTCATTTCTTCCATTTTTCTTCCATTTTTTTTCTTTTTTTGTCCCAATGCATGACTGTGTTTTGCTACAGATCAAATTAACTACAAAACAGAATTATACCATTTACTGATTATTCAATATCCACATTGTATGAGCTCTCATTGTTCTATATGGACTACACAACTGCATAGACCGTAGTGCTCGGCAACTAGTACAGCTACGTGAAAAGGAATAATCCCCAAACTTAAACTGAAGTCATTTGGTTAATTTGACAGTGGATATAAATGGCCAACTTAAGCATAGCAGCCCAGTAATTTCACATTATGTGTCCAGAGGGAAATTCGTTTAGAAAAAAGCTTCATGTTGAGGTATTTGGATACATTTCCCAAGGTTGTTGCTGATCCTGTTTCTACTGACTTTAGTGGGAAAAGCTTTGTTTTAACAACATGATGACTTTAGCCTCAAACTATCAGTGCTTAGTGGACAATAAATGCAAAAATGTATTTATAAATAATCACTTGATGGTCATTAAGGTGGATTTTTTTTTTGCTACATTGTAATAATTTTCAGCCAATACATGATCCGTTTTTTTTATGGATGTTTGCGTAAATGCAAAAATTGTAATTCAGCTCATAGTTTAAAAAAATATTTACTAAAATGGAATTTCCTTTCATTTAAAAAGTTTTTTGCTGATTTTTTTTTTATTTTGTATTTCTGTGTCTAAATTCCCTTTTAAAGCTGTATCCATTCATTTTCTCTCACTTTTTAAGCAACAATGTAAACATTTGCTGTTTCAGGTTCTCGAGCAGAACAGTTTCCTTCATGAAATTATAATGATTAACTTGTTAATTAAAAACCCAGATGAATCATCATGGGAGCTATTCACAGCCTTTGTATCACTGTGG